TCAGCTCCGGCCGCCATGTTGGGTGCGGCGCGGACCCTGCCCTCCCTCAGAGCCGCGCTCACCGATGTCTCCCCGTAAGCTTTTGTTTTGCCCTCGCAGCTGTGCAGGTTTGACCTGCCGGCGCAGTCTCCCCTCGCATTTTATTTGCGGAGCCCTGGGTGTTGATGCAAGCCCAGGACTTGGCAATGTTAATTAAACCCAGCGCTGATGTTGGCATTCCTGAAGCGGCTCCAGCCGAAACTAGGGCACCGCTTTTAAGTCATTTGTGTTCATAGCTAAGTCATCTTTAGAAAAATAATTCAATTTTTTTTTTCTAAATGAAAGCGGCTCTGATTACAGCGTGCCAGTTGCCAACTTTAAGTTTAAATAAACATTTGCGAAACTTCACGGGGATGACTACCACTGGCTTAATTTCACTTTTAATAGTCATTATAAACCCAGAAAAAATTAGTTAGTATACTGATTTCTATTGCATAGATTCCACCCCAAAGATGCATTAAAACCACCCACGTTTCAAAAATAGGTCTAAGAAGTTATCCAGCTATAACAAAATTGTTTCCACCAAAGAAGGAAAGTTATTAGAATAGGAAAAACAGAATTTCTTCCTACAGTTATTTTGGGAATCTTCCCTTCAGGGCCCGTCTACAACTTCCCCAGTCTGGTTTTCAGTCATTAGTGTGATTGTTTGATGCCAAATTTCTTGGGGGAGCATGGGGGAGGAGAGTTAACTGCCCCAGCCTCCAAAGGATCACCAAAACTACTGCAGCCTTTTATTTCCCTTTTTTTTCCCTTCACTAAAAGGGACTAAACTATTTTTACATAGCCTCTCCTCTGGTGAAGTGTCAACAGTTTGCATGTAAGTTATTCCAGTATGGGAACACCATAGGAAAATACCCTAAACACTGAGAGATTACAGCTATGAAGCTTAGGCAATGCAGAACTTAATCATGTCACAATTACAGGATATTCATTTAACCTTAATTTGGCTCTTTTACATACGCAAACTAATTAGAGAGTACATTTTCAAGCATAAGCATACCTCCTCTGAAACAAGAGGTAAGCTCGAGATGTCAGTAGTTAAACCTTTGAAAACGATTTTGTTTTGTCAGATGATGGGAAAAAGACTCATGAAGACCAAAAGGCAAGCACAGCTCCAATGGGAAAAATGGTAGGTAGTGCCAAATTCCCTCCTGAGTCCTCAAAGAGCAAACCTGCAACTCCCAAATGCAGGAGACTGTATGTAATAATAATGACAATTTCTGTCAATGAAAACAATATTACTGCAATGTATGGAAGCCCTGATTGCAGACTAGAGCAAATTAAATTATTACATTCCCCATCATCACATAGTGTTTGCTTAAATTTACTGCTTAATATTGCTGGACTGGCAGCCTATTTAAATTATTCAGCACTTTCGTAATGCACTGCCTCTTTAATTATGCTTTTAAACATAGTTTCTCTTTTCTACTTGGAAGCAGTTAGTCTAGTTTCACGTTCCTCCTTCTCATCTTTAGGCAAGCCAGGCATTACACTAGGATTTTCTCAAACATGGAAATAATTTCGTTTCAGTCAGTCAAATAAAATTAAAAGGCAATGTTTGTATACTGATTTTGCTTCTGTTTATTCTCTGTATCTGCCAGTGGAACTTAACTGCAAGACTTTAGATTACTTTTTCAAAGATTCCCTAGCAATGAGTGGAAAGCTCTGACGGGGCAAACATCATATGACAAGAGAAAGACATTCTTAACAGAAAATGCAGTCATCTTGTGAAATTCTCTACGATTAGAAATAAAGAAACCACTTACCTGCAAACAGCCACAGCTGAGAGGAGGAATTGAACACATCCAGCTTGATGAGCTTGCTAAATTGCAGAGCAGTGGAGGTAACCACAGCCAGCACTGCCCAAGCACTGGAAGTGGTGGATGGAGACAGAGAGTAAGTTAAAAGTAAAGAGCCACATTCTCATCTTTCACTAACTCAGTTATTGCAGCTTTAAGAGAGAGGTTTGGAAAGTTTTCCACTCCACACTCCTCTTGCACACCCCTTCTAAAATTAGAAAGGGGCAGCTGGCTGCTGCAGCCGAAGGATCAGCTCGAGCCCCCCAGACTCCCTCCCCCCTTTCCTTGATTGACGTGGCTCCCAAGAGCCATGGAGGAATTTGGAGAAGGGTGCGTCCACCTGTTGGACATGGAATGAGATTTTCCAGGCATTCAATTATAAATCCAACTGTCAGGAGCTGACAATAAAACAGGACACAGGACAGCTGTGAGGACTACAGGACACCCTCCCTGTACTCCTACAGTTCATCTGACAGAAAAACAATGCAAGAAAAATTGTTCTCTTTATAAAATAAAGACATCACTTCAGATTCCTTTTAGTTTTCCAGCTGTGCCACAGGGTCCTGGTACAGAATCTGGCAAGTTGTCCATATATTACACCCTCCAAAACCAGATTCTTTTTCCTAAATACAGCATGCTGGCAATCACACTGCAGATGGCTCATGTAGCTGAGTCCTGTATAGCAAATACTTTTATGCTTACCTTAACGTGGAGCTCTCACCTTGCCTTTTGCATTCAGTTTGAGCTGAACTATAAGTTCAAAACAAACATACTTTTAAAAAATAAGGATATGAAATCCACAATTTTTTGTTAATTTGCAAAAAAAGAGATTATGTTCTTGTTGCTGTGAAAAACTTATTCCTTTTCCCAAACCTGCTTAACATGCTCCAAACACTGCTCAGCACAGCATGACTCAGAGCAGGGTGTGAGACAAGGTACCAACAGATGGGGCAGTGCATTGTTCTGGGTCCCTTTCACAACATCCACTGCTGAAGGCAGTAAGGGTATTCCCATCCTCCAGGTGCCCAAAGGAGACAGCAGGAGGAGCAGAAGAGGGGCCACACTCCATCTTTCACCTCTCACCAGCTGCAGGTCTGTCTGCTCGAAACCCGAGGAGCAGTTTGACTGTTTTCCAGTCCAATTTGCAGAGTGCAGGAAATTTTGTCTGCAGCTTGATATGGAACTGGTTCAGCCCCCCCCAAGGACTGTGTTCTGCCCAAAGTCTGTATGCTGAAGGCCACAGAAGAAGAAACATCCCCTTCTTGGTCCCAAGGCCAGCTCTGATGTCTTTGCTCTGCATAAGCAAAGCATTTTTGCTGTCACAAACTTATTTATTTTCCTGATCTGCTTACAGTCAGGGACACTTCAACTTCACAAGTGAGATTTCCCTCGAAGAAGCCAAAGTATTTTACAGTTTGGAAAACATCAAATGGCTCCGTTTGCTGCAGGCAATGAAATAATTATACAAGGAGGATAGTAATCAGCTGCCCGTGAGCAACACAGACAGACATTACTCTTCACCTCTGGCTGAGTAGGAGTTGCTTAATGAGATCGGCATTAAGCACCTGTGGATATTTAGTGAGAGCCTTTTAAGGACAAAGCCACAAACAGCTACAAAAGGACCTGCAAAAGTCTTCTAATCCTGAGCCTTTTGCCTCCTACAGAAGGGGTCACTGCCTACACCTGTCTTGCTTTTCATTTATTTTTCCAGACTATACAGCCCACCGTATATTTGTAAATACACCTCACTTTCCCTACAGTTAACAAGTGATTCTCCTTTGACTGGCACAACATTAAGCAGAACATGAAGTCTTTAGTTTCCAGGCACCTTCCTATTTTCTCTTGAAACAGGAACATAGCTCTTTTAATACCCATAAGAGGGGGGAAGTTTTAGAAACAGAATATAACCTGGATTAAATATGGAGGGTTTGTATGAAATGGAGGCATGGAATCTCCTCCTTTCATGTCATAACTTCATCTTTTTTGTGGCTGCCAGTTCTGATAATTTTTTCCTAAGTTACTTTTCAGTAAGACTGTCCCTCCAGTCAGTTCACAGTGCACTAGTTTGCAACAGCAAAGGTACAGAACATGCAGCCAGGAGTGGAACAAGAATGAAGTCATCCCTTTTGTCAGCTGCTGACTCTTGTATTGGGCTAATGAAACAAGTGAACCATATCTTATCATCAGTTCCAGCTGAAATCAGAACTGGGGAATTAGTACAAGAACACCAAGTAAAAAACATTGCACAGCTATTTCCTGAAACATTCCCTGTCAGAGAGAAGGCCTGATATTATGGAATATACACATCTGCATCCCAGTATCTATCACTCCACTGAAGTTTCTTAGAAGTTCTAAATTTTGCAAAAGGTTGTATTTTAAGCATCTGTATTTGAGCAAAGGTAAAATGAACGACTTAAGTATGTTCAAAAAAAGTCTGACCACTTAAAATTCAGTAGACAAATCTTAGAACAGCTTATAAAACAAACCAGTATATTTATTTTGAATCATTACTAAAATAGTTTCCATAATATACAAACAAATATGCTATCAGGACACATTTGGAAATAAATCACAGTTGTTGCTTTTTTTAAAAAAAACATTTGTCCAGTGAAATGTTCAAAATGTAAATGCCATCTTTTCCTTCCTGAGCTATTCTTAAACATCCAGAACAACAGCACTTCCATGTCTTTTAACTGGTTTTATTTCTCCCATTAAAATAGGAAGCCCTATCCATTGCTGGCTCCCAGTGGTTAGAACAAATCCACATCTAGTTCAAGTGACCACAGCTCTGTGTCTCTCAAACTGTGTTCCTTGATATGCTTCAGGTGATTTTGGTCCATTCACTTAACATCCTCAACCTTTCCTTGAACAAAGAAGCCAGAAGCTCCAGCTCCTCAATAGATTGTTTTTCCTGATTAGAAAGGATTTTTTGCAACAGGACAGCTCAAGGGGCCCAATCTCTCAGCTGTTACAAGAAAACATGCTATTAATGTGAGAGGATCTTTACATGCTCCTTCATACTCAATAAAACCAAATGTACATGGACCAATGGACCAATAGCTGAGAGCATAAAGTAACAGGAATGAAATGGAAGTGCTGCAATTCTCTTTTTTTTTTTTTTTTACACAAAGTACTTACAATAGAAACAGGTACATGTTTTTGTTTTTAATCTGGTGTGAGGAATTCTTGACATGAGAGACTAAAAAAACATTTTAAAACCAGGCATTGCAAATCTGTTCTTTGCTAGAAGGTTATACAGCAAGCTGCAGGTTATACACAGATACGAGAAGAATGGTTACTTTTCTGGGATACCAAGTACCACAAATAAATAAGTTCTCTGGATGCAAAAATAACGATCTTAGTAAAACGAGAAATAATCTACGTCTTCCTAAAATTTTGTTTGGAAAGGAGACAGTACACACACAGGGCTGACATTTTATCGTTTCCCTCCAGATTTTAAGACTTGCAGAACTTTGACAAAGAGTAGAGAATTCCTGGAAGGAGCCAGGCAAAGAGGTGCTGAGGGATTATTTAGCTGATGTCAGTACTACCAACCTTAAGCAAGCCTTTGTACCTCAGCTTTTCTCACTCTCCAGAACTGTTTAGGGAAGGCTCGTTTAAGGGAAAAATGCTTGCTGGAAGGTTCTCTGCAAGCCACAGATTTTTCAAGCAATTTTGCCACTTCTAGAAGTGGCCTGAAACAGCTGACATATATGTTGTGATCAGATGGATCAAGAAAAAGCTTGTGCTTACATCACTTTATCATCATTTTCAGCATCTCTGGTAGATGAAGGTGATATTTTTGCACTCTGTTACCTTGTCAAATGAAACACCAGCTTTATGCACCACCAGAAAAGGATCCTCAGAGCAAAGCCAACAGTGCATCAAGTCAGCTCCACAGGCAGAAGAGTGATTCTGCACTGAGGGACACTTACGCCCAGCTCCAGGACAGCAAGGCTGGACACGTCACTGAACACAACTTACCAACAACCAGCAAGTTCATTGCTTACACTCTGTAGTTTATTTAGAGAAGTCCCAGTTACTTTAGCAGAAACAACCCCACCAGCTGGTGGAATGTCTCTGCACAGAAAGGACTTTTACACCGCTGTCTGAGCTCAGCAGCAGCAAGTTCTTCCCTGTTCAGCCACTGCAACGTACATTTTGTGTCTTCCTCCTTTCCTGAGTCCTCTCCAGTAACTCTTATGTGCATCCCTCCACAGGGAGGCCCTTTTCTGGCCAAACAGGCAGCACGAGATGAGATATCCGGCTCCACAGTCCACTCAGCTTATCTGTGTCCATGCCATTATAAGAACTAGGAACATCTGAGCTGATGAACTTCGCCTGGAGGAAATCCCGGACCTTCTCCTCCACTTCTTGAAAGGTGAGGCTCTTTCCCAGAGACTGCTCGTCCAGGAGAACCGTCAGCAGAAGGGCCACGTCCTTAAACGCCGCGTTTTCGTGGTCACAGTACTTGTAAAAGATCAGGGTGGAGCCTGCAGGCAGTGACTCGAATCGATGCACCACTGCCACCTTCTTGCCTTTACTGAACCCAGAGCTGAGCTCTTTATCCACCTCCACCTTGACGTCGTCGCTGTCCAACAGGGCCTTGTCCACCCCATCGATCTGGATGGTGGTAGCGTTCTGGGAGAAGGCAAAAGCATCAGCAATCTCATTACTCAGGCACCTCAGTGCCTTCTCAGCTTCCCGGCCAGCTGTGAAGAGCAGGATAGCCGGCTCCAGGTGCAGATGGGAAGTGTTAAGACGTTTCTCAAGGAACACGCGGGCTCTTCTCCACAGATTGGGGTCCTGACTTTGGTAAGTATTTTTCAGTTCCTTCATCCGGGCCCGAAACGTTTGCAGAATTTCAGCATCTCTGCTTGAAGTCCCATATAGAAGACCTGGAATTCCGCTCCAGAAGACATAAAGCAACGGGACACTAATTAACAGAACCAGTAAAAAAGTCTGGCCTTTGTGAAACCCACTCTGCGGTTCACCGTCATCTATAGAAAAAGGGAGCAAACAAGAAGAAAACAATGTTTAAACAATGTTTTAAAAGGCATCAGAAGTCAACAAGTGAGAGGAAAATAAGAGGAAACAGTAGAATTCAGTGGAATCATCCCATTCTCAAGCTACAAGTACAGTAGTTGAAGAGCACAGACATGTTCTAGCTTAAAAAAAAAGGTAAACAAACCCACAAAACACAAATTTGAACTTCTTCATCAACTTAGTGAAGAAACAGCATTATTAAAAAGAACATTTTTACACATTTCTGGATTGACCATGAAATTGGACATTCTTCTGAAAAAGGATTATTTCCTAAAGTTTATCAATACTTTGTTCTATTCAATCAAATCCAAACTAAGAGTTTAAAACTGGTCCTGAAAAAGCTCACGATTTTTCCTACAGTTAGGCTCTGCAGAAAATGCCCTATACAAAACCTGGCAGCACCAGAATGTTTCTGTGTTATTTCTCTTCCCTTAGTCCCATAAGGATAAAAATAGTTCCTGCAGCAATATTTGCATCTCAAACACTGGTGGTCAGCACTATCAGAAAACGTTTGTGGCCTTTGGATCAGTGAGCTTCTGTACAAAGAGTACACACAGCAAACAGTGCACAGGAAACTACTTTGATTTGGTTTCTTATTTAAACAGTTAAATTAATAACTGTTCCATGTACTACAAGCTTGATTCTGTTCCCAGTAAAATTAGTGACGAAATACACCAATCTTCCTGCAAACAGGAGGAACTGTGTGCCCTATGCTACCTTTTCATACCCTAACTTTTATCAGGACAGCAACGCAACAATGGTTAAATAACACCACCACTAGGCCTTAATCTTGTAAACATTACAGAGGAAGACCTTAAATTCAGGTGAAAATGTTACTTGTTACACAACACCCTTCCTTCCTTCGTGCTGATAACACGTGCCCTACCGAGCAAGTCATCTGTTCTGGCAAGGACCCTCGGTTGAACACCAGTTACCAGGAATTGTGGCAATTGGAAAGGCATGAAAATGGTTAAATGTAACACAAGCATGAAACAGAAGTGAAAGCAGAAGTCTTACTTTTAGCCAAAGGCTGTGACTGCTTCCCCACACTGGACTGATACTGATATTTACTTCTGCCTGTGAAGAGATTAAGAAAGGAACATGAGAAAAAACCAAAGACAACAGTTATAACCAACTCTCCATCTATTTACCAAATGCCAGTTCTCAAGCCATCCTGACAATCTTGCATAAAAACCTCAAGTCCTCAAACTCCCACAAATCATCCCCAAAGACTTTTAACTCTTGAAAAATTACACAAATAAAAGCAGATTTCAAGTACAAGGTGACAAAATGGCAGAGATTTAACATCCTGTTATTTTCTGCACAAGGGTCCCGTGTCCCAGTCAAGTTTCACAATTTTGCTTAAGGATTTGAGGGACGTGAAAATGGAAACTGAATTAATGCACATACTAGAAAACCAGCATAATGCAAGATATAAGCAGCAAAAACAAAGCAATCTGTTAAATACACAGTCTTATTTTCCCTCTCCCTGCAGCTTGGGTTGGAGGCCTGTTTCATCAGCAGTCAGCTTCTCGGGATGAATTGTGCTTTTAAAGCAAAATGGAAGCTTTCAACTTCAAAATATACTTTTGGTTTATTTATTTAAATGGGCTCAGACAGCAATGTACAAGAGGCATTATCCATAAAAGTGTTATGAACAACTTTCCCAAGAGACTGGTATGAATATATACAGTGCAATTATTGGTCAGCATGTTTTCTGCATTTAGTCAGTTAATTAAAAAGACATGAGAATTTCTGGCTCCTTGTGAACAAGAGCAACTGGTTCAAAGCTGAGGGCTCTTTAATAATATATAACCAAATCAGGACACTTTCAATGGCACTATTGAGAATAAATTGAACAAACACACCCCAGAGTAGTTATTTAAAGACACTGAAATAAATTCTGTAACCTTGTTTCTGTATGAATGTAATCGTAGAAGGTGCTAAAAGCAGCTCTGGTTTAAGCTGGAGCTTAACTGGCTTAATCAACTACACTACTCTGTAATTTCAACCCCCTGCCCCAAAAGGGCACAGCCATGGAGCTTCTCACTGGCTGAGCTTATCTCAGTCTTCTGATAGTTAACAGATCAAAATCACCTCGATTCTGTAACACTTCACAATGAAGCCCTGTTTGCAGAGACTTGGTTTCATATTTAGGAGACATCTGTAACTCATACCCTAAAGGAAAAAGTAATTCAATAAACAGTCTAGAACCAAATCCTACCCTGCCTAAGAATCTTGCCTTATTTACAACACAATTTGCACAGAGGTCAAGCAAATTATTTGCACTGCCTAACTCAAAAAGTGTAAATTCTGCAGAAACCTTAGAGCTTTCAGAGTTTCAAGTGATCTTCCCAAGTTCTTCACCCAACACACAACTAGTCACTCCTGCAGCACCTATTACCTCTGGCACAGGAAAGAAAAAGTACCAGACTAGCAAGAACTCCTTGCCTCAATTCATTCTTCAAAGGCAGTCACAGATCTGCAGCTACCACAAGACGAGCTGTTCTTCCAGAAGGCACCACAGTTTTTAAAAACAAACAAAAAAAAAACAAAACCAAAAAGAAACAAACACCTGAACTACCCTCCCAGGTTCTCCAGACTGAATTCTGATTTACAAGACTTTGTTTATCTATACCTGTTGAAGACAGAAACAAGCACCAGGACATTACTAGGAATTTAGAACATTATTTACATTATTTTTCTTCTTTTTTCAAGTACTCCTCCAATAGGACAAAAAAAAAACCCAACACAACAAAACAAAACAAAAAAAACCCACACAAAACCAGAAACAATAAACCCACAAAAACAACCAAAAATCTGCACAAGGAGTTGGTCATTAGATGACCAGACTGGATTTTGCCAGCAAAGAAAAATGCTGCTCCTTTCCAGGAGTATATGACAACTAATTCAGCCACTCTTTCTCAGAGAAAGGATAAAAGGTAAGGTGTTGAGTACAGACCAACATTCACTGCCACCAAAGGACGAAGGTTTTGTTCCCTTTCTCAGCTCAACCCCACAAAGCCACAAGTCCGTGCTCTGCACTTACAGCTCCATGAGTCAACTCCATTTCCTAACCCAGCCAAAAAAGAAAAACAAAAAAGAAGAATGGGGCATTTTCTGTGGTCAGCAAGTTGAATAACCTCATAGAAGGGCTCTGAGCTGCCTTCTCCAGCTTCCATTTGAATCTGCCTCCTAGGTCCCTTTCCATCTTCCCAGACAGTGTCCCAGGGCATAAGAAAAACCAGAAGCAGAGGAAAGGAAAATAATTCTATACTTCTCCCTTAATTACAGGGAAAGACTAAGTATCCCCCTTTTTTTTTTTTTACTTACTCTGTGGTGTAAAAGTTGAGAAGTGCTCTTGCTTTTTCTCAGGGAAGTCAGCCTTTATTTCTGAAACCAAAGCACAAATGGACGACCTTAAGTTACCACATCAGAGGCCAGAATCAGGCAGACCAGCCATACAGTCTTTTAGCTCTTTCTATGAAATCCACAAAGCTTATTATGGCAGGAGCATATGCTGTGCTGCCAAACCAAGCCTGCACCATATGACAGCCTCTTGGACCCCTTTTCATCTCCTCTGTAGCCAGAGAAAGCTTAGCAAGGGCTTAATTTGGCCTTCACCCTGCTTTTCCCAGTATGACACAAAATCATCCTTATTTTTTTTTTAAAGTATTGATGCACTAATACAATAGTGCAAAGGATGGCAAATCAGCAGCATTAACTGATTGCTAATGCAGGGTACGATACTTGTCGCTTCTGAAACCAAAACTGTTCAACAGAAGGGAGAAAAAGAAACAGTAAAGCTATTGCCTTAACAACACTGTGATCAAACCTGTGGGGACCCTGGCAAACATGTCCTTGGCTGCCTGAGCCAACTCCTAAAAACCTCCCTTACCCAGTGTATCCATTTGGATGTATTCAAACCACCTGTAGTAACCTTCTGCTTGGCTAAAAATGATCCCATTTTTTTTTTCCTCCTTGTACACCCCCAGTGCTTCTGTAAAACACTGAGAAGAATCTCTGAGCAATGAGCAAAGTGCTCCCTCACTTGGAAGTCCCCTGCTTAAGTCAAAGGTAAGTCATCTTTTTGAAAAAAGAAGTTTTGAGTTTCTTCACCTGAGGCAATTAAAGATCCACTCTCAGAACAGTTTTTGAGGAAGGTACGACATCACTCATATTTTTTTGTTTTTCAGAAACCAGACAGCTGTGTATTTATCAAAGTTAAAATCTGCATTTTCTTGAACATTAAGGTTTTACACCCAAGCAGATGATCATCATACCACAATCAATTTTACTTTTGACTCGGGCAGGAGCACACACTGAAAATTTTTTTTTTTGAAAAACATTTTTAATCCATTCAGATTGCAGCTCGACAACCCCCCCTTTTCTAACAGAAGCAATCATTTGTTACATCTTGGAAAAGGTACTGGGAAAATGTGTTACCTTTTGATGTATAAACGTTTGGTCGCCCTGCCGGTTTCTTGATTTCATTACTGTCATAAACCTTTGTTTTTTCCTTTACTGGAGTCTCTTCAGAGTAAACTGTAGAACCACCTGTCAGGAGGCAAAAAAAAGAACAAAAAGAGGATTGGTAACATCATAAATCTGAAGGACCAAGACAAAATTTCAGAACATCCGTGATCTAAATCAGTAAATTTTCCAAGTTGGGACCTCCCAAGAGTTACTTTCTTACAACATTACCAAAAGCAACTAAGACTTGAAAAGCTTACAGTAAATATGAGTTCACTACAAATATACCTGTCTAACATTGCCACACCTTTTTTTTTTTTTTAATTTTTATTTTTAGGAATCTTTGGCTTAAAAACACGAGTGCTAAGAGCCACAAAATGCTCTACACTACAGGGATTCAGTGTAAACTAATAAATACATACCATGGAAACATAGAGAGTTTTTCCCACATCTTTGGGCTCACAACTTACAAACAACAATTGTGCTGTCTTATGCAGCATTAGGCAAACAGGAAAAGAGAGAGAAGCAAATATAGAACATAATTCCCCTTTTTATGTAATCCAAACCATCCTCTTTCAATAACCATAAGGGCAACCTAGGGCACCCCTGCTCCTAATTCAACCCCCTCAGGTAGCTAGGAACAACCTAAACCAACACCTTTAGGTTGTCTGCCAAATCACAGAGTCATTCAGCTGTGAAACCCAACTTAGTTAATGCAACTAACTAGAAAGAGTACATCCCTAAAAGATGGCAGGAGTCACAGAGCAAAGGTCAGGGCTGGGAAGCCAGTCAAAAGCAGAACACCAGGAAAAGAGATTTGAAAGGATAAAGTGCAACCACACGGTTTCCAAAATTCAAGGGGTTGAAAAAAAAGTCCACATACAGAATAAAAGCTGCAGTACAGTTGTGGAACAGAGACCATGGTACAATGATCAAGCTGAAGGGCATCAGCAGAGGAAACAGCAAAGAGAAAAATACAACTGATAAAAAACATTTTCTAACCTTCACACTTGGCCCTTTAATTCTTTAAACAGTGCAGGGTTCTCCCGGGGTTTAATGTGTTTCTGCAGCTCTTTTACCACACGCCAAGGGCAACGCACAGCTTGCCACCTAGTGTTTAGTAATTTTACTCCAAGAAAGAAAACAGACTTTTTCCTAACGTGTTCTGGCAGCTTTAGCAAGCCAGTGTACGTAAAACACACAAAGGAGAAAAAAAAAAACCACCAAACCCACCCAAACCACAAAAATGGGTGAAAACTGTATGTTTTAAACCAACTTACAGGTGCAATAGTAGAGTATCTGCATGCAGTGATTGGGATGCTGTATTTTCAGATCCATCCTACAAAGCTGGGAAGTGATTGATTTCCCACAAAGCTAAGAATGAAGAGACTCGCTAAATTACTTGATTTTCAGAAATGCCGAACAACATACCCATAATATTTCACTATGTACCAGGGCTTTGCAAGAAAATCTCACTAGTAGTGGTGACCAGAAGACCAAACAGATCTGTGAGTCTACAGAGGGCTACTCAGTGCAGTCCCTGCTTTTTAATTCCTCTCCTCTTCTTTGCATCCAGCAGTACTCTCTGTCTCAAAGAGTTCTTAGAAGTTGTTGTACAAAGGAAAGGTTTGTATACATACAAGTTCATTTCTCTCATGAAGGCAGCTTGTGAACCAGCACCTTCTGTACCAGTGGGCATCACCAACAGCAAGTGAACTCCCCTTTATGAAGTTTAACTTTCCTAGAAATATATGTAATTCCACTCCAGACATGCCTGTTCTTTCCCTACAATGCCTAAGCCTCCAACCCAAAGGCTCATTCCTGCCTCCCACGCACTTAGTGAGGGTTTTTTCAACCCACCATAAATCTGCTAGCCAGCCACCTGCCAGGAGAGAGTGATCTTACTCTCTCCATTTCATAGCCCAGGCTCATCAAAGGGTTTAGAAATCTGTGAGTTCGACAAACTACAGGTTTATAAACCAAAATATAAAGCCACTATTTTAACATAGTGGAAATAGCTCTTTTAAGTTTAGTGCCTCTCTGTCCCTTCAGGCTCACAATCTTTTTTAACAGAGATGAGCCTGAGATGGGCTTGCTGCCCTGTTCCACAGCAGTGACAGAGAGCACAAACTCCTTTAACTCATATGCCCTATTTCCATATTTTAAGACAACTTACAGACCAACTGCAAGCATATCTCTTCAGCTCACTGACCTAGAAGCTGCTTGATCCAAGGCAGGGTTTGTAGGCTCTTAAAGCTTTTCAGCTCTACAAGCAAGTTGCCTGATCTATATTTAAAACCTCTACACAGAAGCCAGAAACCAGTTTCTCAAGTTGTGATTTTGCTTCCCTTCTGTTCTCAGGAAAACAGGACTATTATGTTCCTATAAAAACCTACCCTGCTTGTCCCTCTGCCTCACAGACTATCCCCTAAACTCTGCAGGAAAAACATAATACTACAACAGGTGGGAGGACTCTGAGGGGGGAAGACTTCTCTGGTTCTACATAAACAAATAGGGTCTCTTATCATATTTTTACACCTGTTGTGACTATAATCCAACACAGCTGCTAAGAGCTCGGGGAGGTGGGGGTAGGACATCTCCACCCAGACTCATTTTTAGAGAAGTCTAATTAAAAAAATCAACACTCAGCTGCACCTCCCCTAAAGCAGCCCAGCCACCTTTAAAACACTAAGCCTCTTAGTACCCTGTCAGCCACCATGTGGGAGCAACAGCTCGCCACAGCTTTATTTCACGGATAAACCTTTGTACTTTTCCAAAGAAATACTTACAACCTTGCTTTTTCTCCCTCAAGATAAGATTTTTCCATGCCTCCTGGAAATCCTGCTTCTGAAGCAGGATATTGGCAGCCCTTTTTAAGGGCAGTGCCACATAATCAAGGCTGTGCACTGGAATTGTAGAAAGAGCATGGGGACAAGAACTTGTCTGGGAATGCAGAACAGGCCCAGACTAGCCCAACTCATCCCTGAGCATTGCCACACACTGATAACGTACACGTCCTAAAACAGAGGAAAAGGGAAGTACAATCTACTCATAGATTTCTGATCAAACGACAGGCTAAAGCCACACGACTGCACTGCACAGTTAGTAACTCTCTCCAGTTTGAGAAGGATACAGATTTCATCAACTAAAGCACCAAGAAGGTGCCACACAGCGCCAACACAACAGCTTGTGCAGCCCAGTCCAGGAGCAAGTACCAGACCATGCCTGGTGCTTCAAAGGAAGGACAGCCAAGCCCTAATTATGCACTTCCTCACAAGCACTGCTGCTCCCTCTACAGAGGCACAGCCTTTGGGGGTGCTCAGGATACCTTATTTAAATCCGGGCTTTCAAAACCAAGCACCGTTAGTAAAATCAGTTATTCCCCATCGTAGCGCTGTGATAAAACACTGTTCCAAGTGATGCGATAGGAGAAACAGGGCTTCGGCGTGCTCTGCAAGCATCGAGCCTTCTGAGGAGGGTTTCTCCTTCCATCCCTTGTGCACGGTACAGAAGCCGCAGCGGGATTTCCTCACGTGTGCGCCAGAGCCACGGTAAAAACTAAAAACAATAATCTCCATTTCCTCAAGTTTGGGGCACCGCAGCCCCTTTGCCAGCGGCGCGGACAGTACCCTCTGGGAGTCAAAGCCTACCTGGCGATCTATACGCTTTTATAGGGGGTCGCGTCAGGGAGTCTGGGGTCCCAAAGTGAAACTCGTCCCCTGAAACGAGAAACAGGTGAGGGGCGAGGCCGCGCAGCTCAGCTGAAGCCCGTTCGAGGCTCGGGCCTGACAGCCTTCCCAGCGCACCAGCCGCGTGTTCA